ATACAACTTTATTAAATAGGGCAATGCTGGAACAACAAACCTTTAATTACTTGTGGAGAAATTCTAGTAGCTGACTTTTTGAATTTCTTGCTGACTATGTGGTTAAGAAATAAAGCGAAAGCTTCATGATTAAACCACTCAGACCAGAGAACGCAACTTTACAAAAATCAACCTTGTGAGCAGAAAACTTAGCATGTCAAGACTTAGTCACAAGTCAATGTATTTCTCGAATTCCAGTGCCACCAAAAGTAAATTTAAGTTAAAAGAAAGCCAATAGTACTTAAATCAAAACCTGAAATCAGTCTACGATGAGCGTAACTGTCAGTGTTGCTAATGCTGATGAGTACGAGATTACATGTTTAAGTTAGTCAGTCGGTGAGGTTGTGAAGTGATGTAATTGACTTGATTAAGTTTTTGGTGTAGTTTTATTCTCCCAGTTGGATCTATTTGTGTAGTAAACTAATCTCAGGTCTTGATGTAAGTACTCTAGGCTTTATTTCAACTTGAGTTTGCTTTAGGCGGAGAGAGTTTGAGTGAGTAGTGTTATAGAGAACATGACTAAGCTTTGACGTGGTAGATTTATTTTTGAGACACATTTTTTATGAATCGATTATACTGCCTAGCTGCTCAAGTGATGCACAGTTATGAAAAAACTGAAAGATAGCATGGATGTAACAGGGAAGTTAGGTTAGGTTGTTACGCTGTTAGATGATTCACTGGGAGGATCCTGGACAACGAAGATTAATGGATCCAAGGAACAACAACGTTAAGCCGTTGACATTTGTTACAAATACTTGTAATGATCAGTTAATCAAGTTATTCATTTTCTTGGACTAAAGTTTGTGCAGATTATCTACCACTTATATATCAAAAGCTATATACCAAAACATTTTAATTAGAAGCCATATGACATTAAAATATTAGTGACAACAAGTAATATTCAAAAAAATATATGATGAACCAATATGCAGGAACTACATATATGAACTTCACTGTAGCAGATCACATTTTACCCATTGGTTTTCATACTGATAAGTAATGAAGAGTAGTGATTAGATATACTTGTACATTCTGCTTCATCATCAATCAATACTAAAAAATACTACTACGACAGGTCCTGGAACATAGACACACATTTAGACGTCCTACAATAGTTGTTTTCCTGGACCTTAAGGCGGCATTTGACTCTGTGGATCATGAGGTTCTGTGGCAGTGTCTGTCATTGAAAGGTGTACTAAAGAAGTACGTTAACCTTCTTCAAGACCTCTAGTTTCGACTCCCTAAACTTTTCTCACTGAATCATACTTCTTGAATAATATCTTCTAACCCTAACCTCTCCGATTACTTCTAATTCCCTTACTACCTCTTCTACAATTGGATTTGAATTGACAATTACATCTCTGTGCTGATGTGGTATGGCGACATGAACTGATGTACTTACGTACCAAGTTCTACGTTGCATCTGACTGACTGACTGACTGACTGACTAAAAAATACTGATTGCGCATAACTGACAGACTGATTATCAATACTATTACAAGTAATTAGGTTATTTCGTACACACATTTCTTAAGTGAGTCTAAGTATGACATTATAATGTTACATAGAGAACGGCAGATTTACACTGGACATTAGAATTGTTACAACATTAGGAACGTATATGGAGGTTGATTGAAACACCAGTAAACAATCTATCACACTTTTAAAAAAATGCAAAATCAATATATGAAACTCTTTATCGTTCAGGATAAGCAACTAAAACGTCAAAAAAACTTTGATCGAATGATACATTATTATTGTCAATAAAACATCAACTAGACAGTGAACTATGGTTGTTGAATTGAAAACTAATATTATTAAATAGATATGTATTAGATGTGTACTGAATACCTTAAAACAGAATAGTATTTTACTAAAAAAGTTAACATTGATAGTTATATTGTAAACTTTTTCTCAAATCTAATATCCATTTACATTACCGGTGTACAAACTTGTTTATCACAGCAGAAAATTAAATCATAGGGAGGAAATAACACAGAATACGTCTGACATAAGGTTAAAAAATATCTAACAGTATTCACAATTTTGAGAAATTTATACTGTACGGAAAGTAGACAGAAAGTTTTCTTGCCACTATACTTCAACGACGAACAAACAGATTCTATGCGGAGACTAACTAATTAAACTATGTTGCGATTAAAAGTGGTATATTTATCCATACTATAAACACTCTTAATATTAGACAATAAATCACGTGAGTCTAGTTTTATCCTTAATTTTATCTACGATTGAAATCCATTATTAAAAACAAAATGAAAAACTGAGAAAACGAGAAAAACTACCTATCGTAATAACCAATTTCGTCTGGATGATAATGACGCCGTCCGCGTCGCGACATAGGATCTTCATTGGAGCTACAAATAAAAAAGGAAAACCTATTTGTAATGAAACTATATAAGGAAAAAGAAGGAATCAAAACAAGAATAGACTAACGTTAAGTTGTGAAATTATACAGATAACACCATATACACTCTCGAACGCTTTTATAAATCAAGTGTTAGATTTAATACGATTGCAGTACATTGAGAGCAACCTCACCAAGAACATTATCACAGTTGCAACTAATTACATAAAATCAGTAATTATGTTATGAGTGAACAGTAATTGTTAATAAGGATGTTACAATGACTGAATATACTTCTCCATATTTTTTTAAGAGTTTAGTAATAGTTCCAGTTGCCAAGACAACAAAATTAAATTAACACTAGTCAATAGAAAGTAAAAACATTGCCCACAGAACAATTTCTATAATTTTAAAACTAATAAAGGATGTAGTTGTAATGCTAAACAAAGGTTTAACGTATACAACCAATTACTAATCTTATTACAAGACAAAACATGCCATCCCAACAACTCAGTGATGGAAGTAAATAAAATCGTAAAAGCCATGGTAAAAATAGTGATGTCAGATTTTTATACCTTAGAATAGGTAAAGGTGAATACATGCGGACACTTTCTAGTTGAAGTAATTAACTCACAGAATGGATAGTTTAGTCTGGTCTGCTTAAATGTTTGAGTCATCTATTTCTTAACCGCGCAAACACTATAATAAACGTTATAATTAGAACCGAGTGATTATGAATACGAATCATGTACTGAAGTAGTATTAAAAGTAGTGCTCAACTTAACATGATGCTAATTAGTGGTATTCTGAAACCAATATTCTGCACTTACTGGTGTATTTTCCATACTGTTTACTCTTTGGGAAAAAAGGAAAGACAAATGTAAGGAAATTCATATATCTAACAACTGATAGTTGAAAAGAAGTAGTAATAGCTCCTAAACTGATAGCAGACTGAAGCTGTCGAAAACGCATGAAAAATATTGATCACTAAAAAGAATTCACCTAAAATAATTTTTGGATGATTACAATTTAAATGACTGTTGGAGAAAAATCTATTGCAATATTGCACAATTCAAGCCCAAAATTTCTTCCGGTAATAAAATCTGTGGTAATGAATAAAGCTATTGTGGTCATTATTGTTATTACTATTGATACCGTTAAGAACGATAAGTGAACTCATTGAATTTTATCAAGCATTACTTATATCACTCACTATATGGAACCTGGACTGCGTTCTCCATGATCAATGATACCACTAATTTGACCAGTTGTTGGATCAATAATAGCATCACCTGTTGCAATAAGACCAGATAGTGCCATATTTCCAGTGGGCCATCCAGTTAGATTGTTTACAACGGGAGGAGGAACTGCAAGGTTAGGAAATAAAGCAGCGGCTGCCGCTGCTGCAGCGGGATTCGTAGGATTTAATACTTGTGAATTGCTTCCAGGAGTTAATGATCCAAAACCAGGGGGAGGCATATTAAAAACACCGGTACCAGTTGTATTTCCGTTCGTTTGTTGTGTTCCGCCTAAATAGCCAGGTGGTGGTTGATTGAACTGATTAAGTAAGTTGGAATTATTTGTGGTTCCATTTAGGAGACGATTTGAGACATCGGACGGGGAATTTCCAGCTTTAGAGCTGGGAGTAGGATTTAAATATCGAGCATTTAATCCAGAACCGCTCAAATTTATTACATTGATACTAGCTTGTTTAGAACCATCAAATGAACGGGTGTTTGAAGAAACTGTACCAGAACGAATGCGCTGTAACATACTGGCACTCCCACTGCTTAAAACAGGTTTTAAAGTTGTGTTTGCATATTCCTGTCTGAGTATTTTCTGTTTTTCACAATATTGGATCCACGTTTCTTCAGTGAATCCATAGTTAAAATAGTCTGTTATATCAGCTCCCGGTCGCTTCCATGGTTTTTCTTCATCTCCTAATGTAGAAAGATTGTACTCGACTGTTGGGATTCCATTAATATTTCCCGGATCATCCAATTCTACACCTTGACGAGCGACTTTCTGATCTAAAAGAGTGAAAAACAATGATCAATAAGTAATTTATCATAGATACAAAATGCGGCTAGAAAACTTTAAGGTCGATAAGTAAATTTAGTCTCTAAAACAAGGACCATATGCGTGGATATTTATTCCATCTAAAAGTTGTTGTCACACTCCCTCTACATCCGGAAGTATGACACTGCTCCAGGACGTTAGGTTGCTGTTCCTAGTCTTACCATTCTCCAGCCAGCATGTCTGGTATGGTAGGATAGCGTTATTGCGGCAGGCAAGCCTGATCACTACATAAAGGTAGATGCTGAAATCAGGCGGTCTACAGTTTTTGTCCGAATAACTTTAATGAGTTAACAACTCTGTCCTGCTTATAAAAAAAAATGCTATTTTGGTCCATGAATACCAACTTATATTTGCTGAAAGCACATTATATTACTTATCCAGTGAAAATTTTTGTTTGCATGCTGAATACATAGAACGAATAATTGCTAGAGTCTTTTCACTGCATTAAGAGATTTGAAGAATTTACTTACAACATCCGGTAAGAACTCGATGAAACGAATCTAAAACAATCTTCATAGTTATTGAATTAAATTGTTAATTTGTAATACTAATAAGCATTGGGAAATGCAATCGACAAATCTAGTTCTTTTCTATATATCAATAAAATCATTTCCCGAAATAAACTGAATCTACGAAACAATATGCCTCACCACTTGTAACCATGCTCCAAACTACGTATCCCCAAAGGTCTAGATACCCGTAGAGTTCACTAGCGTAACAACCTAAACCGGTTCAGTAGTGTGGCATTTTAAATTATTCGTCTAACCTCAAAGCAAGCGGTAACAATAAGTGACGGTACATCCTTTTATCTAGGTACCGATTCCTGTACTAGGCTATCGATCCAGTTAAACAACTAATTACATACTCATGTACAAGATTCTGAGGAACATTCAACATAAGGGTCAGAGATGCACTTTAAATACCGAAACTGCAGTATGTGGTCAGTCATAAACAATGAAAAACTCGCTGAAAACGAACATTGGTTCAACTTTTCATGACAAAAGGAAACAAAATTAACAGGAAGCATAACGAAGGAGTTAAAACAATATGAAACATGGTTCAAAAAGCAATAAATGATATTGCATCTCAAAATAGAGTAAGATAAGAAACAAATGCATCTGCGCTGCTGTGGTCGATTTCAGAAGTGGTCAGATCTGAGACGCAACGACCGAAAGTTGGGTAATTATACCCATGGGTCACAACTACTGTATGAGTCGCAAAGATAATACTACTTACCTACTACGTACGTGTTCCTCGATTTGGAAATTTTAACATCTTAAAAATGAGTCATACCGAACAGTCACCTATTTTCATAATTCTGAACTCCCAGCATGGTTTCATGCGTGCGAAACTATTATCATGCATTGAACCTGACATATTCATAAAAAAGATTGATTATTGTTGTTTACTCAGCAAGATATCGATTTAGCTAAAAGCATATACAGCGTTGAAACTCCGCTTTTATCATAATCCGACCGGAGCTGCTACCTTCACGTGGTGGCTAGGTTTGCCTATCGTGATGGCCCAATCGAGCTATATTGGCTGGAAAATATGTTCCCGTAGGTTATACCATGCTGTCAGTCAGATGCAACGTAGAACTTTCTACATAAGTACACCAGTTCATGTCGCCATACCACATCAGCACAGAGAAGTAATCGTCAATTCAAATCCAATAGTAGAAGAGGTAGTAAGGGAATTAGAAGTAATCGGAGAGCTTAGGGTTAGAAGATATTATTCAAGAAGTATGATTAAATGAGATAAGTTTAGAAAGTAAAAACTAGAGGTGTTGAAGAATCCAGAAGATTAGGATTTGAGAGAACACAAAGAATAAATGCACTGGCGCCATTGCGAACGATTTTGAGCCATGTCATTCAAGGTCTCTAGCCATCGATTATTATCATCTCGCGGACCCCAACCAGGTAGTCGACAATTACCGACATGGCTAAGTCCACTAGTCAATGACTTCATGGATTTCTGCCATGTTTTGGTTCGACCGCCCCTAACTTTCTTCCAACCTACTCCTACACTACAAAACAAAGTTCGTCGAGGCAGTCGGTGGTTCGGCGTACGCAAGACATGTCCCAACCACCTCAACTGATGAAGTTCCATTACTTCATCTATTGATCTCCCATCCTTACCTAGTACTCGTTTCCTAACGACAGCATTGCTCACTCAGTTGTCCCACGATATACAAGCAATGCTTCGAAGACATCTATGATCGAAAACCAGTAACCTACGAATATCTTCTACTCCCACTGGCCATGTTTCACAGCCATAAAGTAAAACGGAGCGAACCACTGCACAGTACACTCGTCCTTTAGTCAGCAAACGGATATCTCGCCTATGCCATAAGTGACGCAGGTTGGCAAAAGCCAATCGACCCTTCTGTATCCGTGCTGAAATTTCGTCAGTCACCAGGCCATCGGCACCGATGAGACTCCCCAGATAAGTGAAGCAGTCTACACGTTCGACTACTTCACTCCCTATCACTAGTTCAGGTGCCGATGCAACCCAGTCTTGAAGCAGCATTTTGCATTTCGAGGGGGAAAACCGCATCCCGAACATGCTTGCATTGTTGCTTATGGTAGTCAGAAGACTCTGCATTTTGTCAGCGTCTTCACCGAATAGAACTATGTCATCTGCATATTCTAGATCAGTAAGCGACTTTCCTGGAAGGTCAACCCCTGAAAAATCTGACGAGTTTAATGTTAACTCTAAGAGGATGTCTATGACAAAGTTAAACAAGAATGGAGAGAGTGGACAGCCCTGACGGACACCACTTGTTGTAGAGAATTCAGATGACAGTTCGCCATAAGCTCTCACCCGACCAGTAGTGTTCGAGTAGAGAGCTTGTATAAGGTTAATGTACTTCTTTGGTACACCTTTCAATGACAGACACTGCCACAGAACCTCACGATCCACTGAGTCAAATGCCGCTTTTAGGTCCAGGAACACGACTATTTTCGGACGTCTAAATGTGTCTGTGTTCCAGGACCTGTCGTAGTGTGAAGACAAATGTTATTCGACATACGATGTTTACAAGTTCCAACTAGTGTACGAAAGAAATATGACTAAAAATAGTTGTTAGTTCTCAAATGAAGTACAAGACATGGATAGATTAGAGTACGGGTGTGACAAAATACCCATAGCTTTTTGTCGTTTTATTGTTAGAAAGGAGTAATCACATAACTCAGTATATTCGTCGCATTTGTCATTTATAGTAATTTAACCTAGTAATGTAGTAAATTATGTTTATAAGTTATATTATGAACCAACTAATAACTAGTACTATCCGGTTTATGTTTGCTTCAGTCGTACATTTACTAAAATAGGAACGACACAAATATTTTCAGACCTTGAACGACAAACAAAGTAGTGAAGAGACGCACACACCTGCAACTCCCTCTTGACCCGTTTCTAGCTACTGTCGGTCCTGAGCCCCAGTAGAGGATGTGAAGTACCTGAAAGGTTGGCGACCCCAACTTATAAAGACACTCAAGAAATACACAAAATCGCTAAGCATGGAAAGTCGAGTAAAGTTTGCTCCTGAGGTAGCATCATTATATAGATGGTGAAAACCAGGAGTCTCTGGAAACCACAGGTTCGACACATTCTCTGATAGCTAAAGCAATAATAATCACAGTGTGGAATGTGAGAACAATGTCGGAGACCAGGAGGATCATCTAAATGGCTACATACATGAAGATATATGATCTGTTCCTGGGTGGAATGTGAAGCCTACCTGACAAAAGCTAAACATTTTAGACTAGTTTTAGTAGCATAGATGAATTCTGATCATGAAGGAAATGGTTTACTAGGAATTACGAGACCTACTAAAAGAGAAAATCACTTTAGAAATCAACCGGAAAGCAGACCCATGCAATAGCTTTAACGTCCCGGGGAGTGCTTGCACAAAGAAGCACCACTATAAATAATGGGTCCCTGTCGATGACCTGAGCAAGATTCGAAAAAGCAATTACAAGACAACAGCTAAACTGCAAGAGAATGGAAAACAAATAGAACTACATGATACCACCGAGAATCTGACAGCAAGCTAAAGTGGACGAGAGAGACTAGTTAAGAACAAAGAGGGAAAACCGATTACTGAGGGTTAAAAGGAGCGGAACAAGTGAGTAGAGCACTTTGAAGAGCTCTTGAATAGATTGTTGCCTCTGCCTATGCTCCCAATGACTGCAGAAACTACAGAAACCTTCAAACGTTCTTGAAAAAGTTAAGCTCTCTGATATGGAAATAATGTTAGTGATTGCTCAAGTAGGTAAGTGAAAAGTGAAAAGGAAAGACGCCTGAGTAGATCTTATAGTGTCGTGGCTCAAAAACCAGATAATGGCGATCGTATGCTGAACTTTGCTCAGATAATTGCTTATTTCGAGTACATACTAATTTTAAGCATAAGGAAAAACAGCTTTTGGCATCGCGACCCCCCGCGTCATCGCAACGTTGGACCCAACAAGAACACATAGCTATCAGCCATCAAAGGAGAGGATCTGTTGAGGACTGTCGCTCAGTCTGGAGCACGTGTTTAGATTCGGATTATGCTCTAGTAAGAGCGCTATGAAAGTAATCCCCACCCTAAGGCGGCTTGGAATGATATCCAGATAGCTGTGGAAACAGAAGTAATATCTGCTAGTAAGGTAGATTATAAGGTTACGGAAAAACTGTAGATCTCAATAGCGTCTACTGAACTGATAGATGCTCGGAAACTCATCCCGTCCGGCATAGAACATGACGAAGAGCTAAGTCAGCTTAAGCGCAATGATCGTGAACAGTGGTGGGTGGCAAAAGCAAAAGCGATGGGAAAGGTAGCGATGGTATGTAACAGTAGACAACTGTTTCGGCTTATCAAGTACACCGGTGTTAGGAATCCAAATGTTAGCGAAACTATCTCGGAACAGGATGGAACTACTATTCATTCTCAACCCAAGAGATTGGA